AATGTAGCGGGCCCTGTGTCCACTCATCACTACCAGCCTGGGCACTTGTGCCAATGCCCACTGTCTCATTGATGCCCAGAGATGCTAGATGTCCTAGGAAGCAAAGGAGGACCTTGTACAATGAAGAGCCTCTGCTCTTCCTCCTTAAATCCAAACCCCAGAGGCATGGTTCAGGTAGATGAAAAACTGTTTAGAATCACCTGAGCCTAGACTTTTTTTAAAAAATATTTTTTATTATTTTAAAATTATATGTGTGTCTGTGTGTGGGTATGTGCACCCGAGTGCAGGTATATGTGGAGGCCAGAGGCATTGGATCCCCTGGTACTGGAGTAGGTGGTTGTGAGCCACTCCACAGAGGTACTGTGAACTAAATTAAGGTCCTCTGCAAGAGCAGTATACACTCAACCACTTAGCCATCTCTCCAGCCTCTTGAACTCTGTTTTGTATGTCATAATAGAGAAGATTTTGAAACACTTTAGTATTTTTAGGAGTGTGTCTTCTTGACAACTAACAGAACATAGTTCTGAGATATTCTCTAGGATCAGTGTTCTAATATTTTCTTTTGCTCAGAATTCCATTGAGAGGTACTTACTGCTTCAGAAAGTCATGTCACAGACATCAGTTCCCCATGTGGTATTTGTGTCCTTCGAATAAACCTGCATTTTTAGCTTTCACTATCATAGTGAATATGCTTTCTGATGTCTCCTACTCTAGTTCTACCAAGCATGTAGATAATGGCCACATTTATATATTTCATTGGCAATACATATATATTAATTTACTGTACTTTAACTTTCATGGTCTTTCTTCCTTATTGAGGTAAGCTAATTGTTTGTAGACATAAGAGCTAGTAAATGATAGTCTACATGAATTTCATTTCAGGGTAGAAGAAGAGGTGGTCGATAATATTTACCGTAATGAGAGACTAAATATAAAACTATACGCTAGATTCTTATTGATGAGGAAACAAAGTAAGACAAACTTAGTGACTTAAAACAATATGTTTCTCATCATCTTACAGTTCTGGAGATCAGAAGTTTGAAATGGGGTTTGTCAATCAAGGTTTTGGCAGGACTGTGCTCCTTCTGGAGGCTCTGGAGTAGGGATCTTTTCTTTTGCCTATTCCAATTTCCAGAGGTCTCCTGAACGTCTTGACTCATGACCCATTGCTCCATCTTTGAAGTTAGTAGCAAGGCGCCTCCAAATGTTTCTCTGCCTCTGCCCTGCTTGTCTCCATGGTCATCTTTCCTCTGTCCCTGCCTTCCTTCTACAAGGATCTTTGTGATTACATTGGTCCCATCAGGATAATCCAGGATAATCTCCCCACCCAAGATCCTTAATTTAATTACATTTGCAAAGTCCCTTTTGGTATTTGTCCTTAGTCCATTGTCTGATGTTCTAACTGAATATTACAGATTAATTTATAAAGAATAATAAGAGTCATGGGGCTAAAGGCTGGGAAGTTCAAGAATCAGGTGGCTGTATCTGGCAAAGTCTTTCTTGCTAGTGGGACTCTTTGCAGAGGCTCAACCAAGGTGGAGCAGGGCATTGCATCATGGGACAGAGCATTTGCATTCATATCCCTTTCCTTCTAATTATAAAGCCACAGTGCCATTAGATTAGGGTCCCCCGTTGGGCCTCACTTAACTTAATTTCTTCCCACAGGACTTCCAAGTATTATACTTGGATTAAATTTCCATCCTCTCCATGCTTCATGCTGGGGCTTCTATTCTACATCAGTTTTGGTAGAGACATTCAATGTATAGGTAGTATATGTAGCAATATTAGCTCTAGGGATTTGAACTTGGACATCTTTGAGGAGCCATTAGTCTTCCTACTACACTTTAATAATATAATAATTGTATTCTGTTAAGGTTGATACCCGCAAATTCAACTAAAGCTCCAAGCTTGATGCTCCTTTTCTTCTTGGTCTCAAGATCAGGTAAGTTTCTTCTTTGGCCGTGGCTTAGGCTAAGCATGTTCCAATATAGCGTCTAGATCACAGATTTAAGTCCATATCAAGCTGAGCACTGGTCCCCAATGGAATACTAGTTATTGCAAAGGCCTTGCACCATCAAGCATGGTTTATGCAGGGCACTCACTGAAAGCTAACTGGGTTGAAAACTCCTCCTTAGTACTTTCTTTTCTCTTGGAATAATATATTTACTTTTTAGTTTTTATTATTTTGTTTTTCTTCTTGGGCTATTTAGCTCAAGATGGCCTCAGACTTAGAGTCTCTCTGTTGTAGCCTCTGGAGTGGCTGGATTTACAGGTGGGAAACACCATGTCCAGCCCTTAATGTTTACTTTTCCAGGCATCAATTTCAAATGCCATGCAGGGTGTGATAGTGCATGCCTTTAATCCTAGCACTTGGGAGGTAGGGGCAGGCACATCCCCGAGAGACTGAGACCAGCCTGGTCTACATAGCAAGTTCCAGGTCAGCTGAGGCTACAGGGAGACCCTGTCTCAAAAAGATCAGACAAAACAAAACAGATACCTTAAATTGTTTTGCTCTTCAGATATATGAAGTCACTGAGATATTCTCTAGGTTCAGTGTTCTAATAATGAAGACGTGCTGTCTGGTAAGGAAGTTGGATGGGCTTTCATAATTCAAAGGAGTTTGAGACATGCAATTGGGTTGAAGATCTCTTAAAATTTCTGGCTCATCTTGATAACTTTGAGAGGCTAACATGACAGACAGAATAAAAGTAGCCATCACTAAGTGATTACTTTATGAAATGGCAAGTGCTATGCTGTTTCCTTTCACATCTTACCTTATTTGCTACTCACCAACATCCAGTGAGGTAGATGTTGCCAGCCTTGCTTTATATAGGTTCCATCTCCTGGCAGCAGTACTCAGTGCTCATGAGCTACTATAGTCATAAAGATTCAGGACACAGGTCCCCCATAAGGCAGTGTATCTTAGTTTCTACTGCTGTAACAGAATGCTAGAGACTTGGTAATTTATAATGAGCAGAAATTTATTGACTCATGAGTCTGGAGGCTGTAAAGTCTGTGACTGAAGGGCTGTATCTGGGGAAGGTCTTCCTGCTGCATCACAGCACAGTGGAAAGCGATCCCATGGAGAGGGGATATAGTGGGAGAGAGACCAAACTCACCCTTTTGGCAGGAATCCACTCTCAGCCATGGTATTAATGAGGGTGGAGGTATTATGAATGAAATCACTTCTTTTTTAAAAATTATTTTACTTATTTTTATTTTATGTGTATGTGTGTATTTTGTGCATGTATGCAAATGTGCCCATGTCACGAAATGCCTGAGGAGGACAGAAGAGGGCAATGGGATCCCCTGGAACTGGAGTTACAGATGGTTGTTAACTGCCAAGTGGTTGTTGGGATTCAAACCTGGGTCTTCTGCAAGAACACCCAGTGCTCTTAACCACTGAACTGCTCTCCAAGCCCCCACCTCTTTTTAAAAAAAAATTATCTTTTTGAGACAGGGTCCCCCTGCAGCCCCAGCTGGCCTGGAACTCACTATGTAGACCAGGCAGGCCTTGAACTCACAGAGATCCGCCTGCCTCTGCCCCCTAAGTGCTGGTATTAAAGGCGTTTGCCATCATGCCCAGGAGAAAAATATTTTTTTAAAGGGGGGGCTGGTGCCAGGTGTTGTGGTGCACACCTGTAGTCCCAGCACTTGGGAGGCAGAGGCAGGTGGATCTCTGTGAGTTCGAGGCCAGCCTGGTCTACATAGTGAGTTCCAGGTCAGCTGGGGCTACAAAAAGACCAAAAAAAAAAAAAAAGTTTTCTTATTTAACGAATCATGTCTTAATGTGATGCCACCTCTCACCACTGTGGCATTAAGGATTAAGTTTTCCAACCCATGAACTTCGAGGGACATGTTCAAATCATAATGCCCTAGAATTAGAACATATGACATGAGAGATAAGCCACAGCTCTGGATCTGCTAGCGTCTTTCTTTTTCAAACTCAATGAGATTTGTCTGATAGCCAAGGAGTGGTGTGCTAAGTTTATAGGGATTTTAGAATTGTCCCTCTGTGAAGCCCTCCCTACTGGGTGAGAAGAAGGACAGAGCACAGTGGTATTTTCTTGGCAGCAGATTCATATTGAAGGAAAGTTTGATATAAAGGTAGAGATGGGAGTTCTTTTCTTTTTAAAAATTGTGTGTGTGTGTGTGTGTGTGTGTGTGTGTGTGTGTGTGTGTTTCTTCACAGGGACCAGAAAAGGACATCAGATCCCCTGGAGCTGGAGTTACAGGTGGTTGTGAGCCATCTATGGGTTCTGGGAACCAAACTTGGGTCCTCTGGAAGAACTGTAAGCATTCTTAACCAGTGAGCCATCTCCAGCCTAGGGGCTTGTTATTCTCAAAGCCTGACTTCTCTATGTCTGGCATACACCTAGTTCTCCTGCACCATTAGTGATCAGATCACTTACCCAAGATGCCTTGGGGCGGGCTGCTGTGAGAGACTGGGGTGATATTGGAAAGAAGTTTCTTTGAGACTGAATGGCTCATTTCAGCTTCTGTTATTTCCAGCCTCAAGGAGAGATTGGAGATGGGGTGGGGGAAAGGGCCCATCTCACTTGAGAAAGTCTGTGTCTGACAGCTGAAGGGTCCCAGAGCAGCAAATATCACCTTGGCTCTTCTCTTGGACCACTTCAGTTGTCTGCTTTTGATTGACAGGGGCATCTGGAGGCTAAAAATACTCTACTGACCAAGTGCTGTCTATTCCAAGTCAGGCCGAATATGACTGCAGTCCGCAGTGTAGGACATGCAAGGAGTTTCTTCTTTCAAAGGAGCTTTTCAAAACCTGTCAGGCCCCATGTCAGGACCACACCGGTACATGTCATTTTCTGTCCTGGCTGCTTTGCTGGGTGATGAATGAGGCCACTGTCTTTTTGTCTCTTCCCTGCAGGAATGGTGGTGGAGGTGGAGGAATAGGAGGAGGAGGAGGAGGTGAGGGCCCAGCTCTGGAGAGGGGGAGGGAAGGGGAGGTGGCCTGTCCATTTATAGTCCTGCTCTTTGGGATGCTGAAGGTGCTAAATAGCAGCAAGGACAAGAGGCTTGGCTCAGTGTGAGATACCCACTGTGCTGGCCCGACAGGCTCTGGGATGACAATAGAGAGCATGGAGAACGTGGAGGTCTTCACTTCTGAGGGCAAAGGCAGGGGTCTGAAGGCCACGAAGGAGTTCTGGGCTGCAGACGTCATCTTTGCCGAACGGGCTTATTCTGCCGTGGTTTTTGACAGGTAGGACATGTGGGAACTGGCCTTCTTTTCCCTTCTTAGTGTGACTGGTACCAAGCTCTCAAATACTTGGCCCCAGAATCATCAGGAGAAGGGGTAGAGTTCATGGGGCCCTTAACCAAATGATACTTCTCATGGCTGCTTGCTTGCCTTAGCCTCTTTCCTGCAGGGAGTCATTGCCTGGAACTTTCTGTTGTCCCCAGCAGGGTGGTGAAGGTGAGCAGGGGCCTTGAGCGCTTTGTCCAAGTCCAGGTGAACTTGCTGAGGGACTCTGCTGGGGGTGGGCATGTGGGTGTGATGCAGGGGGAAACATTTCTTACAAAAAACTCCTTCAGCTTCTTCGGATGTATAAAAGAGGCTAAACATCAGTACAAATCTATTAGAATTTAAACACTTGCTGAGACTTTAAGGAATTCATTGTAAGTACATAAGTAATTCAAGAATTCATTTACTTTCCAAAAGTTAGAATCTTGTCCAATTTTAGTCCTCAGAGATAACCTGTGTGATGACTTAAACAACTTCTTTCTAGAACAGTCTTATACTATTTTAAACATTGAATTGCATTTATCAAAATGGATAGCCATAGTCTGTCTTTTTACCTTTTATAGAAATGGATCATATCAGAACTTGCTCATTTCCTTAAACAATATGTTTTTGATGTCTATTTTATGGAAACAATGTCTTCAGATATCATCTTTATTTTCATTACATCTTTTATTTTACTCTCTCTCTCTCTCTCTCTCTCTCTCTGTGTGTGTGTGTGTGTGTGTGTGATTGTGTGCACATGGAGGTCAGAGAACAACTTTGGCAGTCAGTTCTCTCCCTCTACCATCTGGATCCTGGGATCCAACTCAGGTCATCAACCTTCGCAGCAGGCACCTTTACCTGCTGAGCCATTTCCCAGTCCTTCTTGTATACCCTTTAAAAGTAACACCTAAACTTTAAACTTTTTCTTGTTTCTTTCTTTTTATTTTTGTGTGTGTATGTATGTGAAGGTGTGTGTGCATGTGGAGGCTAGAGGCCAATGGTGGGTATATTCTTCAATCACTCTTGAAGCTGTGTTTGAGATAAAATCATCTCTCACAGAATGTAGAGCTCAGCTACTAGACTGGCTGGCCAGGAAGCCCAGGGGATCATCCTGTCTCCACATCCCCAGTGCTGGGACTACAGGTGTGCACCCCCATGTCCAGTGTTTTTTGTCTTTTGTTTTTTTTTACGACAGGGTCTCCCTGTAGCTCCAGCTGGCCTAGAACTCATGATGTTGACCAGGCTGGCCTGGATCACAGAGATCCACCTGCCTCTGCCTTTGAGTGCTGGAATTAAGGTGCATGCTACCACACCTGGCCTTAAATACCTTTTTTTTGTTTGTTTGTTTCATGTCCAGTTTTTTAGGTGCTGGGGATCTGAACTCAGATACATATTCTTGCATGCAATTACTTTACTGACTGGACCGTCTCCCCAGCCTCTTGTTTCTTTATTTTTATTTAGTTCCTGTTGTTATTGCCTTCATTGATTTTTCAATTTTAGTTAATTATATATCAATTAGAATGAGAAAATGAATGGTTTTTATCCTTGAGTGACTCAGGCTTTAGCAAGGAGATGAGATAATATCTTTTTTTTCCTGATTGTTCCTTGAAGATTCTTGCAGACCCTCAAAGTAGAACTTCCATCTTTTGCAAATGATGGAGCAAAGTTGATAGTAATGTGAGTAAAATTATGTCATCACTATCGTCTTCATCATCTTCTCCATCTCTGTTGCCATCATCAACCACCATTACCATCACTGCCATCACCATTACCACCACCACCATCATCAAATACCATCTCTGTCATCACTATCATTCTGTTCAAATAGTGCCCATATTTAACAGATATATGATGAAAATAAAATGAGTTCAGAATTAAGCAAGTAAAGGAATTTGAAGCATGCTACAAAGTAATGTTGAAGAATCTCTTCTAATAGCCATCTACAAGTAATGAGAATGGTGCCGGGTATGGTGGTGCATGCCTTTAATCCCAGCACTTGGGAGGCAAGAGGCAGGTGGATCTCTGTGAGTTCAAGGCCAGCCTGGTCTACATGGTGAGTTCTAGGTTAGGTGGGGCTACAGGGAGACCCTGTCTCAAAAAAAAAAGCAAAAGGAAAAAGAGATTGAGTTTATAGTTTGGTTGTAGAACATATTCTTAACATATACAAGGCCCTGGGTAAGAATCCTACCATTGTAGGAAAAAATGTTCAGAATACACATGCATATATATGTATATATATTTAATCGAAAGGTTAAGTGACTAGTTGGTCACACTGGAGTTATAGAGTCATATTTCATGTCAACTGGGAAGGAAAGCAAGCCCTAGGAATCAGAACTCAAGACGTATAAAAGCTATGGGCTGGAGAAATGGCTCAGTGGGTAGGAGCACTTGTTGCTTTTCCAGAGAACTGTTGTTTTATTCCCAACATCCACACAGAAGCTAACAACTGCCTGCACACATGTGGTAGACATATACACACTAAGGCATACATACACATAAAGTTTTAAAAATCTTAAATTTTTTTTTCTTTTTTTAACGTGTATGAGTGTAATGCTTCCATGTGTTTAAGTGTGCACGTATTGTGCAATGCCTGTGGAGGTCAGATGAGGGCGTTGGATCCCCTGGAACTAGAGTTACAGGTGGTTATTAGCTGCCATGTGGGTGCTGGGAATTGGGTCCTCTGTAAGAGCAGTCAGTGCTCTCAACCACTGATCCATCTCTCCAGCACTAAATAATTCTTTTTTTAAAAAATGTTGTATAGGCCCTGGATAACTCCTTAACATGCACTTCAGTCTTGTGATATGTCAAATGTAATTTTGCTTAAAAATGTAATGAACCCAGGATTCACACATTCTCAGAAAGTGCTCACCACTGAACTATATCCCCGTTTGTGCTTATCACATGTGAATAGATTTTTATAATATGCTTTGTTTAAGATCTCCTATAGCTTAGGCTGGCCTCAAACTCTCTATATAGCTGAGGATGGCTTTGAGCTCTTGATCTTCCTGACTCCATTTCCCAAGTGCTAGGATTATAGGCATATGCCATGACACCTGAATTATAATTTGCTTTTGAAATTATTATTGATTTTCACTTTACTCTTAAAATTTTTTAGGTTATAAAGATATTTAACACTACTAAATGTCAGGCTCCAAGCTTTTCCCCCCAGGGTACCTGAATGTTTTTAAGCTCTTTTTTTTTTGGTCTTTTTGAGACAGGGTCTCCCTGTAGCAGCTCACCTGGAACTCACTATGTAAACCAGGCTGGCTTTGAACTCACAGATAGTCACCTGCGTCTGCCTCCCAAGTGTTGGGACTAAAGGTGTGCGCCACCACGCCTGGCTACTTTTATACTGAGCCCCTGTTGCCTGTGGGTGGAAGGGTGCTTGGAGTGCTATCTAGAGATGAAAAGAGCCATTTTCCAGGTCTTTCCCCATCTCCTGAGGAAAATTTACTGAGAATGCTGTATACAGAACCAGGAAAGGGAGGGGAATTGAGCCATAAGACCCTGAAGAGCTCTTCCAGTCTGAGATTCTGTGGGTTGGAGAGGGCTCCAATGCAGTGAGAGGAGTTCTAGACTAATAGGGTGGAGCTTATTCTCACTATTATTTTAATGTAATACCAATACAATAAATGGTACAGTAATGCTGACTATGGACAGTGCTAAGAACCCAAAACATTAAATTTCTTTTTATTTTTTTTGAGGCAGGGCCTTTTTATGTAGCCCATACTGTCCTCCTCCCTCAGCTTCCTGGATGCTGGATTACAGGCATATGGCCCACATCCAGCTCAATTATTCTTCTGAAAGAAAATATTTATTATTTATTTATGTGTGTATGGTGTGTCTCTGTGTATGTGAGTGCAGTTGTTGACAGAGGCCAGAAGAAGATGTCAGATCCTCCAGAGCTGGAGTTACAGGGGATTGTGAGCCACCCAACAGTGTACTGGGGACCAAACTCTGCTTTTAACTGCTGAGCCCATGATCCAGCCCTTCAACAATTTATCTAGACTCTGGATTCTCCATGGCTCCTAAGCTAGGAAATATCCATAACTGGAAGGTCAAAGTTTGGGGTAGATGTGTATATGTGATTTTATTCAAGGAGAAAGTCAATATCTTTTACTGTTTTCAAATGGTCCTCAGCACAGAAGTAGAGATCCATGGAGTTTATTCACTCCTATCTGAAACTGAGACCGAATGGGGTTATGGACCTTCTTTGGGTCACACATAGGGCAAGACCGAATCTTCCCTTATGTCTAAGTCATCACTTCTCATTGCACTCCCCAAACAAGTGGCCTTTATTTATTGCTTACTTATATTTTTCACTTTGTTTATTTTTCAGTGCAATTAATATGATTTAGTGTTAGTAAAAGAAAGGGCAGATCTGGGGATATAACTCAGTGACAAAGAGCTTGCCCAGCATGGATGGAAAAGGGCATGTACTATCAACATTAGAAAAATCAAAAATTGATTCTGGAGCCAGAGAATTGTTAGGCCCAGAAAATCAGGTAAGAAACAGGAATATGGGAGCTGGAGGGATGACTTGAGGGTCAAGAACTTTCTGTGCAAGCGCGAGGCCCTAAATTTAGATTCTAAGAACCCATGTAAAACCAGATGTGGTAGTGCATCTGTAATCCTAGCTTTTCTATAGTAAGGTGGGAGGTGGTGATAAGTATCCCCAGAAGGGGGCTTGAGAGGTAGCTCAGTGGTTAAGAGCACTGGCTTCTCTTGCAGAAGACCCAGGGGGTTCCCAGCACCCACATGGCCTCTAACAGTTGTCAGTAACTCCAGTTCAGAGGATCTGAAGCCCTCTTCTGGCTTCTGTGGGCATTACAAGATGTGGGTGCACTTACATACATGCAGACAAAGCACCCATACATATAAAACAAAATAAATATTTTTAAAAAGAAAGAGAAAAGAATATGTACATGGCTAAAAAGAAAAGAAGGTGCTTATAATAGTAAGTCAATATGTTGTAG